ATTTGAAAATTTTGTGCAAATTGATGGAAGAACAATTACCATAAAGAGAAATATGAATCATAAAAGTTTAAGTATGACCAACAGTAGACACTAAGCAATGGATGACCATCACTGACCGTTTCCTGAGAGGTACAAAAAGAGAGAGAGTTTAAGTAGGAATGAATCCTCTAGCAAATGAAACAAAAGGTCCTTTTACAAAAACAAAAAGCTAGGAAAGCAAAAAAAAAAAAATTCATCAAATTCTAACACATAAATTACTTGTGGGTTTTATCGTGGTATAAGTCAACAAGCTAGACATAGATCATTAGTAATAAGTTTAATCCTTAGTGGGTACTCCATTTTTGTGGCCTTGTGCCAAAGTAAGCTACACTAGTAATTTTCTAAAGGTAGAACTTTGTGAAACAGACTCCCAAGAGGATGCTTCTCTAATCACTAAAATCTTAACCCCATCACGTCTAGGGTCATTCCACATATCCTACATTTCGTTCCTCTTCTTAAATACATACAACAACCTCATTCAGTTACATTCTATTCTGATTGGCACTTTGAACATTTAGTCAAAAAAAAAGAAGAAAGTGATGAAAAAAAAGCAAAGATGAGGATATTAGTTCAGATAATTCTTAGAATGATAAGAATGACTCGTTTCTGAATTTCAGACATTATTTAACATCTTTAACGGTCATACTCGTCATGAACGGCATTTCTTACCCACAAACAGCCTTAATGGAGATAACTAACCCTTTTCAATTGGAACTCTTCTGCCTCCTAACAAATCCAGGAAGTCTAAGACAGATTCAAAGCAATGCCATACTTTCAGCTGCTGCATAAATTCTCATCAAGTTAATATTTAAGGAGAACTGAGCAGCAGGTGTGGTGGGTAGGGATCTACTCCAAAGCTGATTTTATTTACACTTTAGGAGTGAGGGAAGAGTGAATTTCTGTCAGCCTATTTCTTTAGCTACAGGTTCAGTCAAAACATAGGGGTAGGAACCACAAGATGAAAGTTAGCAGATGAGACTTACTGGAAAAAGGATCAGGGGTTTTCAGCTATTCCATGAAAACTGCAACACAAGCAGAGAATATTTTCTTTCTTTTTTTTTTTTTTTTCTTTTGGTGGGGGAGAGACTGTGTGGAGAAAAATGGATGAAGTTTCACCAGCTGAACAAGACCAAATTTTCAACATTCCATGACAAAATGTGCTGAAGTCTGCTAAGAAATCTGGTCTTGGATTAAGTACTTGTAAAATGATAGATATATATGTGTGTTCTTTAGATTTGGGAAGGAAAGAAGGGAAAATTATCATTAACGAATGCATGGAAGAAGCAGTCAGAAATTTATAATTTTTAGGTTTTATTTGATTAGAAATAAAGTTGCCATGACATTAAGAGTAAAAAACACATTTTAGGTAGGAACAGGATACACAATTTATGGTGAAATAATTGCTATGAATTAAAGGAATAAAAATAATATAGCTACTATAGATTTTTTTTAATATAAAAGTTAACCTTTCTACATATTATATTAACTTTTTTTGTTAAATAGCACAGGTAATATGCCAGATTTTTTTTTGTCTGGTCATTCTACAGGTGATACTGGTACTATATAACCTGGTATTACCTGCTACATGATTGGGTCATTGGTGAATAAAAAAACAAGACCTGTTAAAGGGAGGATGAACCTTTTAGTAAAGTCAGTATCCATTTAGCACAATTGAGTAGACTGAACTCCAGTGCTATGTGTGCAGCTTGTGCGATGATGAAATGGTACCGCTGGGCACAGTGCTTCCTAGACAGAAGTTAATGGCCAGGATGAAGGGTTTTCTTGATGAAATCAATGACCACATATCCATGAACAAGGCGAGATTTCAAGTTGGTGAACATTGACTGTGGTTTGACCTGGAGAGGAATAGGCTATGCTAGGTCTACTTGCCCAAGACATGCTACACATGTCTTTCAACCCTAACATATGTTGTACACAGCACCCCTACAGCCACACTTGGTTAGGGGTCTGATTATGGCAATGACCTAGCACAGTATTTCCTGGTCACCCTCCCAAAAATATCATGTAATTGGCTGTTAACTTTACTGTACTTTGAATAAAAGGCTTTCTATAGAAATTAAGTTTAAATGTATTCCTATAGTAATAAATTTGCAATATATTTCAATAGTAAAACAATTTCTAATGTATTTCGATTTATTGTATGGTAAAATAATATCTAATGCATTTTACAGTAAAACAATTTATTCATATAGTAAAACAATTTCTGATGCATTTTTATAGTAAAATAAGTTTTAACATATTCCTATAGTAAACAATTTCTAATACATTTTGATGATAAAACAATACCTAATGCATTTTACAGTAAAACAATTTATGATGTATTTCTATACAAAAACAATTTATAATGCATTTTTAAGTATACCTATAATAAAATTTCTGATGCATTTCTATAATAAAAGAATGTCTAATCCATTACTATAATAAAATAATTTCCATTGTATTTCTATAAATGCTTTTAGTATTTCCTTTGCTACTATATATGCAATGATTTGAGTGGCAAACGAAAGTTTCAACATGTTAGTTTCATAAGTAACTGTAATGCACTTTTATAGAAAATAATTAATAATGCATTTCTACAGTAAAATATTTCCCAGTGAATTTCTAGGTAAACATGAGAGTTTTGGTGTTTTTGTTTAAGACTCATTATATCATAAATTACATAAACAGTACGTTTATTTGAAAAAAAAAAAATAAAAACCAGAAAAACAAAGGTAAACATACCTTATCTAAACAAGTAGTACACATATTATTCATTCAAATCCAACAAAAGATGTCAAGAAGACCCTTTTCACAAATGTTGTAAACAGATAGTTACAACTTTGTCAATTTCAGAAAAGATAAGTTTTCAATTTAACTCACCTGCAAACAAAAAGAAAAATTTGTTAGAAACATTACAAGGAAAATTCATTCAATATGTTTTTAAAATATTCTCATTCAGAACAAAGAGAGAAAAAGATAAATATAAATATATATATAAACACACACACACACGAAGATCAATAAGTTCATAGGCTGATGCACAGTTAATAGCTAATTTTTTATCTGAAATTTCCACTGTATAATGCTCAATCTCTATATGATTAATAAGAATAAATAATTTGCATTATTTACATTGTTCAGACTGCTGTCCTTATTTTTATCATCATATTCACATTTCACCAATGGTATGCTCCAGCCTTCATATATATATATATATATATATATATATATATATATATATATATATATCTGCAAATGTGCGTGTGTAAAATAGGATACAGACTCCAGATAAAGTATGAAAAACAGGACAAATGGAAAATCTAGATTTAAGGAAACAGCTTTCCATTTGTCATAATTAAGAAATCGATAAAAGTTCAATGGACTTTCTTATTGACAAACTCCAGAGTTTCAAATCAAAATGCTCATCAGTGCCAGATATTTGATAAATTGATTGAAATTATTATCTGATTTATATTTCAACACTAATCATAAATCATAAGCTTAACTACAAAATACACTTGAAATGACAGGTAAAATATCTTTGAGATTATAGGTAAAATACATTTTAAATGATAGGTAGAATATCTTTAACATGACAGGTAAAATACCTTTGGCACAACAGGTAAAATTTCTTTATGATAGGTAAAATATCTTTGACGGTTAAAATATACTTAAAATTATAAATAAAATATCTATGATATGACATAATGTCATTGTACATTACATGTACAATGACATTAAATACCTTTGTAATGACAGGTAAAATAACTTTGGCATGATAGGTAAAATACACTTGAAATGACAGGTAAAATATCTTTGGCAGGTAAAATACATTTTAAATGATAGGTAGAATACCTTTAACATGACAGGTAAAATACCTTTGGCATAACAGATAAAATATCTTTCAGATGACAGGTAAAATACCTTTGAATTGACATGCATATAAATAAATGTTAAGATTTCATTTTGTATTAGATTTTCTCAATTTAAACAGTACTTTCTAACAGACCTCAAGCAGAAAACAAAAAATCATTCATACATTGAAATAGCATGCTGGAAAAATGTTATTAAACATATTTCCATTTATAGTTCTGAATTGTTTTCGTGATATGGGAGTGAGTTTGTAACCAACAGCATAAGCAACTTCTGTATGCTGAATATTTATACTTTAACAGCCAAAGAATAGATAGATTAAAAATCATTGACAAGAAAACAAAGAAACCAGTCAAAAATAATGGTATTTTTTTTTTTTTAAAATACAATGTTCTTTTGTGACAAAAAGCAATCATTGCTCTCAACTATTACTTTTTTTTATGTTACCCCTTGTGTCTTAGTCACTTTACTTGAGGCAGCAAAGGTGTGGTTCTACAGAAGGATGCTGAGGATACCATGGATTGAACATGTGAGCAACAATGAGGTTTTGGAGAGGAGGCAAACAAAAAGGAAACTCATAGTTAACATCAGGAAGAGGCAGGTGAAATTTCTGGGACACATATTGAGAAAGGAGGGTTTGAAAAATCTGATACTCACAGGGCCGATAGAGGGAAAGGGAGACAGGGGAAAGTAACGCATGACATACTTAATGGGCTTAAGCAAGTGAGTTGTAGAACAGGGTCTGGAAGAAATAACAAAAAATCAAAGCTTATTGAGAGCTACAAGGGACAGGAGGAGAGCCACGATCGCCTACATCCTGAAGTGACACAGCACATAAAGGAAAAGTCTGCTTTGCATGGGGTGATACTGATAATATCTATCTATCTATCTATATATATATATATATATATATATATATATATATATATATATATATATATATATATATATATATATATATATATGTATATTAAAACAATGGGTGTGGATATGAAAGGTGGAAAGTTAGTTGTGAGGTTAGCCCTTTGCTCTAGAAGGCAAAAATAAGGATCAATAAGCAACACAACCTCTGATCTCTTGCCAATAATCTACACCTTAGGCCAGGTATAAAGAGATAGATAGATAGATAGATAGATAGATAGATAGATAGATAGATAGATAGATAGATAGATATAAAGAAAGAAATAAGAAAGAAAGAAAGAAAGAAAGAAAGTGAAAAGATTTAGATTGATACAGAAAGATAACAGACTAAGGTAAATAACAGATATATGTATACAAAGAAAGAAAAAATTGATAAAGTGAAGTCTTAGATTGATACAGATAGATAATAAACTAAGATCGATAGATAAATAGATAGATGTAAACAAAGAAAAAAAGTGAATAGTCTTACATTCATACAGATAAATAACAGATTAAGATAGCATGATTACAGATTGAAATATGAGCAAAGAGAGAGAGAGATAAAATGACTTAGATCAATATGTAAATAAGGAACAATTTAAGACAGATAAAAGATTGAGATAGATGTGATTAAAGAAAGAAAGAACATAAATAGATTAAGATTGATATATATATATATATATATATATATAAGACTGAGATAGATAATTAACAAAAATATATAAAAAATTGAGAAAGACAGATAGATAGATACGAACAGAGAGAGATAACATGAGAGAGAACGGGGGGACAGGGTAATGGATAGTGGCAAGGAATGCAAGAGCTGAGGTTGAATTCTAGAAAGAAAGAAAATGAACAGATTCCAATACATAGATAATCTGTAGATACTGAATAGAATGAGAAAAGAAAAATGAATAGATTGATACATAGATAAGGAACAGATTAAGATAGAAAGATAGATAGATAGATAGATAGATAGATAGATAGATAGGTAGATATTTATAAACAATCTGAGAGAGAGAAATAGAGAGAGAAGGAGAGAAGTGAACAGACTTAGATATTTATAAACAGAGAGAGAGAGAAGTGAACAGACTTAAATAGATAGATAGATAGATAGATAAATAGATAGATAGATAGATAGATATTAACAGACACAAGGAGAGAGAGGTGAACAGACTTAAAGAAGAACAGACTTAGAGAAGAACAGACTCAGATAGATAGATAGATAGATAGATAGATATGAACACAGAGAGAGAGAGAGAGAGAAAGTGGTGAACAGACTTAAATAAATATGAACAGATTGAGAGAGAGAGAGTGAGTGAAAAATACATGTGAACAGGCTGAGATAGATAGATAGATAGATAGATAGATAGATAGATAGATAGATAGATAGATAGATAGATAGATAGATATGAACAAAGAGAGATAGAGGAGGGAGGGGTGAACAGACTTGGATAGCTAAATAGATAGATAAATAGCTAGCTAGCTAGATAGATAGATTTGAGCAGATTGAGAGAGAGAGAGAGAGAGAGAGTGAGGTAAACAGACATAGATAGATAGATAGATAGATAGAACATAAGAAACTGCTTTGAATTAGAAAGTTTTTAGCATGTAATACCTAAGACAAATGCTCAATCAGCCTCAGATTTCCATTGGAAATTTGATTGATCCAAAGTAAGAAATTAAGTGATATCTTTCACTGAAGCAATGGGAGAATTTTCTCAACACTGTGTTATAACTAACAATACAAATTGAAGCAAGAGGGACATTTTCAAAAGTATGAAATGCATGGAATAGAGAATATTGAAACTTTTAAGGAAATGTATTGATTCTGTGTGATTTTTTTCATAATTAAAACAGATAAACATAAATCTCTTTCTCTCTCTCTCTCTCTATCTATCTATATCTATCTATCTATCTATACATATATATATATATATATATATCATCACTTGATAAGACACCAGACGTGTTGAAACAAAATGGCTATTTTTGTAGTGATTTTGTAACATATTTATGTTATAATTTTTGAATATATAATTATATTTGCTCTACTCTGTATTGAGCACTCTTTTAAGAATAGTAATTGTAATTGGTTATTGTATATATATATATAACTTGTATATATATATAATAATCCAGGAAACATCTCCATGAGATTTGATTAGATTGACCATGTATATATATATATATGGATATATATAAGAAGTCAGGCAAGAGTCTATTTCATGCTAAATGCAATTGTCAGGCCATGAGTTTTAATTCCAGTCATGTTCATTACACTCACTTAAGCTCGAATACCCTTGGGAAATATATGAATCTATATCTCTCTTCCCCTGTATCATCCAGTTCACACTCCTCCCTGGTCTTTTGAAAAAGAGTAGAGGTTTATCCCTTGTTTCCTATTTAGGATTGTGTTTCCAGTTCCTTCTAAAGTCTTCTCACTCTCTTTTACACCCAGTAGTCTCCGGCACCTTGCTCTGGGTGAATTGATTTTATAAAAAAACAAGCTATGGATTAAATATCAAAGTAAACTGAGGTCTTCAGCCTTGGCTAGCAACCAGTCTAGGAGAAGGACAACTCTGAATTAAAAAACTGTATATAGTCCTGGCAAAATATGCAGCTAATTAAAGTATTGAGAAGTTCACAATGACTCTAATCCTGATAGGATGTGAACAATATCAGTTTAATATGGGGAGTCGGAATCTGTGCACCCAGGCCAGGTCCAAAAATAGCCAAACCCCACAACTGTCGGCTCCCTCTTTAGTGCAATGAGAGAGGTTCTACCACAGGCAGCTCTTTCCCAAGACTGGGCATCTCTCAATATTTTCAGTTGTGTTCTTTCCATAGAGACACAACTGAGAGATGAAATGTATTCTATCTACCCAAGGACAGATACTACACTTTGATCCCAACCAGAAGGCTGAGAAGCCGAGGTGGCCACAATAAATGTGCTATTTTTCAGGCACACAGTATTGAATAACGAAAACTGATTTGCCAAAAATCAAGTTACCATAAATGAAATAACATCAACTGCTGAATTACTTTCAAATTATTATTAAGAGAAATGCTCTTAAGATGGGGATTTGGCTAATAATAATAATAATAATAATGATAAAGTCCTACATTGAGAAATTCAGAATAAAGCCTAGTATTCCATCGCTTTAGAAGTTTGCATAGCTTGGCACTGTGAAAGGTACTTTCTATCTTTGAACATACAACTTTATGGACAACACTTGTAACTCCAGTTGAAAACAAAAAATTGTGCAAATATCATCATCATCATCATCATCATCATCATCATCATCATCATCATCATCATCATCAATGCAACTGCATGTTTACAACAGATCTCAGGTGGTTATCACTGAAGAGAGAATGTCACCTCAAATCTGCAGCACCTTCCGTAGTATTTTCACAGTTCCCAGCAATGCTATGGTCCAGGCAGTCTCTAATCTTCTTCATATTTTTATCCAATCTCAAATGTTGGATTTTGGCACATTTTAATAGCATGACTATAACATTCTCCAGGTCAAGGTCCTGCTATTTCTTCTATTTTCTCTCTTTCTCCTTGTATTGACTCTGTGGTCTGCTGAGACAATGACATATTATTATTATTATTATTATTATTATTATTATTATTATTATTATTATTTCTCTGTAGATTATCCTTCACACTTAATCAGATTATTGATAAATAAATGTAACTTATTTAAAAAGGCCAAAATCAATTAGGAATAAATCTTCTGGTTTAATAAGAAAAAAAATAAAAATTAATCTGATTAAAGCAAAAAATACATGTAATCTAACTGTTTCTTTTCTTATAGGATGAAACTTCTACAAATGTAAAATAAAATGTGAAACAAAAGGTTTTTCTTTAAAAGAAACATTTAAAATAAGTCTTGGGTTTTATTTATTTTTATTAAGTTTATGTAAAATTCTTGTTTTTCTATATTTTGCCTAACATGATAAATTGTATGGAGACAACAGTAAGAAAAGTTAGAAGTTTCAAATCAATAAACAATAAATTTTTTGTTGGAGGACTATTTTCATTTTTTGCTGCATTTCATTTAACAATATTTCAACAGAGTTTCATTTTCTATCCTTAACCCTTTAGCACACAACATGCTCAAACCTGCCCTATAAATATCAGCTCTTAAAGTCTCACTGTTTGCATCAATTCCTGTGTTATTTGTGATGATGTCATCTTATATTATGGTGGAGTATACATGGGACAGGTTACAGCAGGTTGAATATGGAGAGCCAATATTTACAGGGGGGGGGGTTGGGTGGGTGAAGGCTCAAGGGTTAAAGGGAAATATTTGACCAATATCAAATCTGTTGTAGAACAATTTGTAAAAATAAATTATAGGATATAATAAGTAAATAACAATAGGATGAATAAATTATAGGATATGAAAGTCTTGAGAATGAATATGTCTAAACCTGGTAAAAGAAACGCAAAAAACAAAAATACACAACAATGACAAGAATACTTTTAAAAATTTCATTGAATACTGACACCATGAAGTTCCAGATAAAAAAAAAGCAAAATATGCTTGTAAAATCTCACAAAATCAACAAAGAATACAAGTTTTCTCAAAAAAGTATCCACTGAAGATACCAAAGTCCAACAGAAAAATAATAAAAATCATGATTGTCAAAAAGAAATTCTTTCATTATTAATGAAACTTTATCTTAAAACCTCTTCACTAAAAACAATAATGATGAAAATAAATAATACATGAATTAGGTTGATTGGTTCATTTTGTTTAGCAGCATGTGGGTTATTTAATGCCAAAATCTAAATATTTTCAACAATCTTATGCCTTCAGATAGAGATAAAATGTATTGTTGGTAATTTTACTATAAATATCTATTGCTGGTAATTATTTTATATAAAAATATATTGCTGGTAATTTTACTATAAAAATGTATTTTATACTTTCATAGTGTTTTGTTTTTGTTTGGCGGTTCACTATTTACCCATAGCTGAGACCCTAACTGGTGCTACCACCCCGAGTCAGGGTGGACCTGGGGGAACAACAGCAATTAATAGGTGGTTCCACACTTCTCATAAGCTCCGATCTCCCAAATCAGAGGCCTTAATGCCAACGTGGAATAGGACTAACATATTATTTACATATATAAATTACAGTGGAGTTTATAAAGTTTGTGTGTAATTTGAAATAGTTATAATTTTGCAGTTATAAACATATAATTAATCTGTTTATAAGCTTGATATGTCAAGTTTTTCTTTTTCGTGTTAGTCAAAAAATTTGTTATTGTTCGCAAAAAGAATAATAATTTTATTCTTTGTCCTTTTCTTAAAACTTCAAAATAGTTTCTTTTTTTTTTTTCAGAATTGTTATTGACCAACGTCTTCACTTGATGAGAAAGGAAACTGCATTCTTTGATTGGCTGAGCTAAAATCTGGCACTGCTGTCCAAAGATGGCCAAGAACTCATTTTAATACAGAAATACCATGCAGGAATTCCATATCCAAATAGATGAAAAAGTTTCAGAAACAGATTCTGTCAATCATAAGACACAATCTGGCAGACCAAGTGTAAGTGAAGAATGTGTAGCACCTGCAGAACAATAAAACAAACATTTTTTAAAAATTGTTTTTTCTTATCATTTTTGCAGATTAATTATATCATGTATAAAAAACTAAGTTTAAAACTGCACACAGACTTTATAAACTCCCTGTATATCAGTTAGCTTTTTGTTTAGTTTGTTTTACGGCATATCAATCTCAATGGGTTATTTTATGCAGACAAAATTTTTACTTCTGGTAATATTTTTTTTTCAAAAATGTATCGCTGGTAATATCTTTTTTTTCAAAAATGTATTACTGGTAATAATTTTTTTTTTTTACAAAGTATTTCTGGTATTAAAAAATAATTTTTACACTTACATAGTGTTTTGACCACTATTTGGGGGCTAACTATTTACCCACATTTGGGACCCTAACAGGTGCTACCACCCCGGGTCAGGGTGGACCTGGGAACACCAGCAATTAAGAGGTGGTTCCACGCTTTTCAAAACCTTCTGATCAGAGACCTTGCTGTTGGACGTAATCGTGTTACCCAGGATGCAGATGTAGTTTATCGTCACACCCAGGACGGCCCTGTATATAAATCATATTTTTGCTGTACTCAGAAATTTTTAATAAAAATCTCTCTATATATGCTGACGGAATATAAAATTTAGAAATGGACAATGCTAATTTTTTGCTTAATTACTGTATGATCAGAGGTAAGAGATATTGTGATGAAATCGTCAAAGTTTTCTTGTGATGTAGTAACACTGACAATTGTGGATTCAATCCATGATCCTTAGCTTTAGACTGGGATGCATGTTATGATAATGTTCAGTTTGGGGAAAGAGTTCAATGCAAGCAGCTGTCATCTGAAGACACACACATGCTCCTTTTTTATTCAATTAGAGACATTTGAGAGGGTCAGCATGAGGGTTTTTGAAAGGCTGAATGGTTATATTGGAGAATTGCAGCACATGTTAGACATGATGCATTGATGGGTGTCAATAATGGCAACAATAGTCAAATGAACAT